CCCCGCAGGAAGCTCTACAGAGCTACACACAGACGCCCCCGGGCAGGACACCAGTGGGTGTGCCCCTTTGACAGAGAAGGGCCAGATCACACACCACCGTCTCCAGCTCCAGCCCCTGCAGGCGGGCACCCTGACGTTGCCAAGGTGTGCACGCAGGCGGCATTTAAGACCTGGAGTTGTAGGCAGCTGTGGGAGGAACACCCTGCCCTTTAGAGCCCAAACCAGCAGGGTTCAAGCCCGCCTGTCACAGAATGAGGCATGCTGTGAATAAATGTGTTTAAGAAAAGGGGTGCCTGGATGGCTCAGTCGGATGAGCGTCTGACTCTTGAGTTTGGGTGGAGCCCCACATCAGGCTCTGTGCTCAGCCGGGAGCCTGCTTCTCTCCCTCTCCCTCCGCCCCGCCTCCTGCTCACATGCTCGCTCTCTCTCTCTCTTTCTCTCCAAAATAAATACATAAATCTTAAAACAAAACAAAGCCAAAAAAATGGCCATTTGGCCCCAAGAGCACATGCTGGTGTTTCTTTCCCCAACAAAATGGCACTTGAGGGGTGCTTGAAGGACCAGTAGGGTGACTTCAGACATGTCCCAGAAAGGACATTCAAGGCTCTCCCCCAGCAGCTTCCACTCTTTCCAGCCTCATCTCTGGAGCGGGAGATGGATGTTCCCATCATCTTAATACAGAAACTTAGCTTTAGTGTTTCTTACCTTTCTCTGTCACACTGGAAGGATGAAATGCCAATATGTTTGTCACTTCCTAGGAAGATCTGAAGATTAAAGTCTCCGTGCCCTTGGGGAAAGCAGAATGATCTCTTTGGTACCTGGTGTTCTAGGCTTTACCAAAGTTGCCGTGAGAGAGCGAGAAGCATGGTGAGGTTGGGAAGAAGGGGCTGCGTGTTTACAGAAGCAGAACTTCCTTAAGAGGACGGGGAGGGGGGAGGACTGCGGAGCCAGGAGAAGTGAGCATTCAGTCCCTGTCCCTGGCGGGGGCCTGGGACACATGACCCCGGTGTGGGGGAGGCGGTGCACTCTGCAAGGATGGGTCTCTGGGACCCGATCCCCAGTAAGCCCCATATTCTCAGGGCCCAGGCATGCCTCAGAAATGACAGTCACCTGCCGTCAAGGAGCCCGCAGAAACAGGGAGAAGAGACCTCTCCAGAGTGACATGTGTGACTGAATGACCAACAGAGGCCCCACCCGAGATGCCTTGGCACTAGACACAGCCCCAGGGTAGGGCGGTCAGGGGGGCCCCAAGAGAAATAAGGTTGGCTTTCCCTGTCAGCTCAACAAGGTTGAGATGATTTCTAGAGAGGTTTTAGAGAATGAGAGAATAAGGAAATGGGATCCTTCTGGCACCCCTGGCTGTGTGAACTGAGATTTACACTTAACCTAGTCCTTTCTGTCAGAACCTTCGGCTCCAGCCAGCCCGGTCTGGCCTTTCTGCCCAGATGGGGGTTCATTCCATGTCCCCTCCTCCATTACTTCTGAGGACCACTCAAGGGGCAGCACCCCCCTCACTCCCTGCAACCCCCAAAGGCCTCTCCCTCCCTCCTCTGAAGCTTGAAGCTCATGGTGTCACCAATTTGACAGATGCATATGGAGAGTGCTCTGGTTCTGCTGGGACTTGGCTCCCCAACTTGGCCAAGAGCTTCATGAAGGTAGAGACATGACCCTTTCTCCTAATCCTGGGCTGATCACTGGAGCCCCTGCCCGGTCGAGAGACCCACAGGGCCCGGGGCTTGGCCCTTTCGGCGGAGGTTCCCATCCCTTGTCAGCCTCTCTTCGCCTCATCATGCTGGCTCACTTGCTTCTGCGCATGCCAGCACCCGGTCTGTAAGACCCAGGCCTGCCTCTGGGGGAGCCTGCTACCCAACCAGCAAGTGGGTGTTGTGGTGGTCCTCCTAGGACAAGCCTTGCCTACCCTTTTCCTCCTCTGCCTGCCATAGATGGGCAGATTTTGCTGGAGCCTGATGTTGACAAATGGACCCATTTTTGTGTTAAGAGCCTCTGAGCTCTGTGTGCACCAGGACCCCAGCAGATGTAAACACTGGCAGCCTCTCTTCCCTGGCTAAATAAACTGCAGGCTTCCAGAACAAGCCACTGCCCCAGAACACCCTCATGGTGTTTAAAAAAAATGTCAGCTCGCTCCAGCCCATCCTCTTGGCACAGGCCAGTTCTCCCTCTCCCAACTGAATGTCCCAGACTCTGGGCCACTGATGTGCAGGCCAGGGAGCAATGGGGACAGAGCTCATCTCCTAAAGGGGCCAACCTGGGCCCCTCCGCCTTATGGACAAAGGGTAGCTATGCATGAGGAGTAAATCCTATGCAGACCCTGATGTCCTCCCAAAGCCCTGCCCGAGCTCCGAAGACATGTTTTCTTCTTTTAAAGTTTAGATCCTGTGAAAATAAGAATGTTACTCCCTTCACCCCTGACACAAGGATATTTTAAACTTTTTTTTTTTTTTTTTTTTTTTTGGTATTCGTTATTCATTAATTCACCTGACATTTATGGGGCAGCCGCTTGGTGCTGATTGCAAAGCATTATGCTGCCCCATCCACTCCAAGTTGCCTCAAAGCCCACATGAGTGCTCATCCCATTACTTTAAAGTTTTCATGCCTATGTCTGTATATGCTAGAGATAGATGCTAGATAGAGATAGATGATAGAGCTAGATGATTGGCTAGGTACCCAACCTGCGCCATCAGTTCCGCCGATCGGCCAGAACCCATGGGCAGTCCTTCCCCCCACACGTCCTTCCCATGCACAAACCTCCATGAGCAAACTGGGGGCTTCGTGTGTCCAGAGGAGCCAAAGGACCTTAGAGTTCTTTTCCTATTCTAACAAAGCCTAGCCTTCAAGGCGCTTGTCTAGCGATAGACTCGGCAGGCCAGCTCGGGGCTGCAAGCACACAGGTGCAAAGAGCTGCAAGAGCCCCTGAGCTGGGGGAAATGAAAACCCTTAGATATAATAGCTTCAAAATCGAATCCCCGTCCATATCCATGGAAGGCAACAGGCTGTCGCCGGAGGAGGACCAGGTGCTAGTTGGGGCTTCTGTAACTGGTGACGTGCTCTCAGGGCCCCAGCCCGGCACTGTGCTTGCCCCTGAGGCTCAGCAAGTTCTGGCTGCCGGGGGGCAAAAGGCAGAACAGCCAAGAGACAAATGAGGCAGAAACAAGCCCCCAAACTGAGTAGGTACATCTGCCGTAGCCGGAGAGATCCAGGGCAGAGGCCGGTCCGCAAGGGGACAGACGTCCGGAGGGTGGTGGCCAGCTCCAGAGAGGGAACAGGCCTCTGCCCCCTGGCCTGGCTGGGGCTGGAGCCACTTGTGCCAGGAGCCGAGGCTGGGAGGGCCCCGCAGCGCACGTGCCCACGCGAGGACTAGGGGCCTGGCAAGCACCCGCCTCAAGGGGCAAGACTGGATCCCCCCCAAGACCACGCACGTGTGGTGTAGCAGCACCACGGGGGCACCCCTGCTGGTGACTGAGAGCCCCCCTCTGCTGTCACGGGGGGCCACCCTGCCCTGCCGCGACTGCCCCCCCAGGGACCGCACCCCCACAGTTGTGCATAGCTGCGCCAGGGCGTGTGCGCTTGCACACGGCAGCCACACACGGGGGCTCAGAAACAGCATCATGCGGCAGCTTCACAGGGTAACCCCCCCCAACGCACACAGGTACAGAGTGGGTGACCAAGAGCAGGTGCCTACGGACAAACCCAGAGCAGCCCCTCAGGCCTTTCTGGGGTTCACAGAGGAGGCAGCGAGCCCCATCCTTGTCCTGAGAGACTGAGATCCCTGGAGAAGAAGCAGCATCACCAGAGAACTCGCCAGAAGCGCTTTGAGTTCTGTCTTCTCCCTCTTGCTGAGCCCTGAGCCGTCTCATCTGGGGTGCAGGGGGCGCTCTCTGGGGCTACAACTCGCTGTTGTGCTTTTTCCGTGCCAGCCCCCATGCTAACTAGACTCTGTGTGCATTATCTCATTTAAAACTCACAGGCACGCCATGAGATGTGCATCTGATGTGTTCTATCTTTGTTCAGATGACAAAGCCAAAGTGCAGTAACCTTAAGAGGCTTGCCTGGAGTCACCCAGGCAGTCGCAAACCCAGCCCGGCTCCCAAGCGTGTGCTCCTGATCACTTTCTAGATGTAGCCCCCGGCCCGCACTGGTCGAGTGTAAACACCACCCCCACACCCCAGGACTCTGCCCCATGCCAGCCCCCCTCCCCCCCACCTCCTCTTTCCCCTGGGTCTCTCCTGCCCTGGCACCCAGTCCGAAATCTTTTCTCGAGAAAGGCAAGGCTGGGCCATCCAAGCAGGGGGTGGGACGAGGGGCGGGAGATAGAGCTGAACCTCGTGAGCAAGCAGCACTTCTGCCAAGGCGCTCACCACCCCGCCTGGGGGAGCAGCAGGGAAGGCCGTGGCTCCAAGGGCTGGCAGTTGGCGGAATGGTGAGCCAGCCTGTCCCAGACCACAGCCCAGCCTGCACCCCAAAGCCTGGAGCGAAGCCCGCTGGGCCGTTGACCCGTGGAATCCAAAGGCTGCTGCTGTGGGTTCATCTGATCCAGAACGTTTCCAGAATGGAGGGAGGCACCTGGGTTTGAATCCTGGCTTGTCACCCACTTACTGAGTGACCTGGGCTGGGCACGTCCCCTCTTGGAATCTGTTCTTCGTTTCTGCAGGAAAGTGGTTGACTGATGATTGGCAAGGATGTTTCCTGCTCTGAAACTGTGTCTTGGATTCTAGATTTCCATGGGACATTTGAGAAGTCTGGCCAGGACATAGGAATCTGAAGGGCAAACGGCTCTGGACCCAGCGCTCAGCACAGCCCACCTCATCTTCACTTGAGACTTGGGAGTGTCTCCCCTGAGTGCCTGGCTTTGCACCTACTCCTCTGTGCCCCACATACTCCCGCACCCAGGAGGATTTCTCTTCTATAGCACATCCGGGCAGGGCACCAGGGCTCCGGAGGAGTGAGGAGTCAGGCCAGGTGTCCCAGACCTGGAGGCGGCCATGGGGGCCCATGCTGTTGTGACCGACGCCAACATCTCATCCAGCCTTGAGAGCAACACCACGGGCATCACGGCCTTCTCCATGCCCGGCTGGCAGCTGGCCCTGTGGGCCACTGCCTACCTGGCCCTGGTGTTGGTGGCCGTGACGGGCAATGCCGCGGTCATCTGGATCATCCTGGCCCATCAGAGAATGCGCACAGTCACCAACTACTTCATTGTCAACCTGGCCCTGGCTGACCTCTGCATGGCCGCCTTCAACACCGCCTTCAATTTCGTCTACGCCAGCCACAACATCTGGTACTTCGGCCGTGCCTTCTGCTACTTCCAGAACCTCTTCCCCATCACGGCCACGTTCGTCAGCATCTACTCCATGACCGCCATCGCCATTGACAGGCAAGAGGGGGTTCGTGGGGAGCCGGGGGAAACAGGTTCACTGTGTTGGGGCTCAGACAGGGCTGGCGATGTGCCTGCGATCATACAGCAAGTTAAGGGCAGATCTCAGGGAACTGCCTCCCGGCCGGATTGTGATCCAAAAGTCGGCCTCTGGAAGACTGGGGGGCTGTGGAACCAAAGCAGGCCAAGTTAAGGTTACACATGAGGAGAACTTGGCACTAGATGGTTGTTCAAGGCTGGAGGGAGAGAACGGCTGTGTTTGGAGACCTTCTGGAATGTTCTTCTCTGGAGTTGGTCTTTTCTTCTTTTCTTCTTTTCTTTCTTTTATTACGAAGAAATTGCTTCTGTTGTTTTCCTATTCCTAGATAGATGATACGGGGCGGGGGGAGGAATTTAATACTGCGTGCAGTTACCCTGTAATTATAATGGGTTCAATTGTCTTCCCAACGCTGTTCTCAGGGCTCTGAGGGATCAGTGTGGAGCCATCTGCCATCCTTTTGAAGCTGGTTAGGGCAGACAGGGCACAGTTTGGACTCAGAAGGGGACTGTGTGACCCTGAGGGAGTCTGGTTGAGACAGACAGCAAACGAAAAGGGACACAGAAAGACATCAGGTGCGTGTGGGAGATGGGACAGGCCTGGGACCCTCAGAGACACAGACCCCTTGTCAGGATGGTTTGAGGCGGCACGAGCCCCACTGTCCCTCTCCCTCCCAGTCTCCATCCCCACTCAGTTGCTCAACAACACCTAGCAGCTGGCTTCTCTGCTCTGGGCTGTATTTCTGTGGAGTTTTCCTGAAGATTTCATTTGAGAACTGTATTTCTACTGGTTAAAAATGAAAAGTTCGAAAACCATTTGTCTAGGCGACGCTTCTGACTTCATACCCGGGGCAACTGAGGCTCGAGACAAGCAGGATTGCTAGCAAGTCAGGGGCAGGGCCAGGGGCCCAGAACCCAGACCTCTCTGCTCGCAGTAAGGGGCAGGCCCCTCATGATCCAACCACACCACCTCCCCCCACCAAAAGCACCTCAGTCCCCCTGGATGTTTCTGCTAGTCCACCAACATTTCCTTTTCATTCACTCAACAAATATTCGAATGTTCCCTCTGTTTCAAGCACTGGGGAATATATACCAGAGGGAACAATAGTCCTTGAAATCAGGCCTCATGGAACGTCCATTTTAAAGGGGTGGGGGTGGGGGGCATATGGACTTGAGAGGACGGGGTGGGAGCCAGGAGACCAGGCAGGAGGCTGCCGAGTGACAATCCAGGTGAGAGGATGGTGCTCAGAGATCGAGGTGGCAATAGTGAGAACTCATCCATTCGTTTCTTCGTTCCGATTTCCACGCCCCCTGTGCACAGATGCTGTTCTGGGCATGGGGGTGAAAAACAGATAAAGACGCTTGCCCTGGTGAGAATTTAAATAATAAACACATGAAGAAATGGTACACTGTATTTTGAGGTCATGAGTGCTGTGGGAAGATAACAGGGAGGGGCAAGGGGCCAGGCAGGTTGTAGGGCTAGACAGGGAGTGGGATCGGCCCTTCTGCCGGGTGGGTTTGCAGCAAAGATGGAAGGAGGAGGGTGGACCCCATTAGCTCTGGGGAAGAACATTCCAGGGAGCAGGCACCGAGGCAGCAAAAGCCCATGGCAGGATCGTGCCTGGTGTGTGTGAAGAGCCCCCAGGAGGGCGGTCCTCACAGAGACACTGTGGAAAAACTCAGGGTGCACAGAGTCAGCAACCCCTTGTGCCCCAAACACCAAGATGTGAACTCCCCTGTGCAGGGCAAGGACATCCTGTTGTCCTGGCCTTGTCTCAAGGTTCGGATCAATCCCAGAGAGGAAGGCCCAGGGGTCATCCAGGACCAAAGCCACTTCTGGTGGATTTAAAGGAAATAAATGCATGGGACTCACCGTGTTTCAAATCCTAATCCCCCACAGCCTGCAAGCACTTCTCAAGCCTCTCACTGCCTTAGCGTGCCAACCAGAGGGGCACGAATGACTGTCGGCCCACTTTACAGAAGAGGAAAGAGAAGCTCAAGGGGCTTAGGTTGTTTGCTCAAGACTCTACTGTTGGAATGTAGCGAAGTCAGGATTCAAATTTAAATGTTTTTTTTAAAGATTTTATTTATTTATTTGACAGAGACACAGCGAGAGAGGGAACACAAGCAAGGGGAGTGGGAGAGGGAGAAGCAGGCTTCCCGCAGAGCAGGGAGCCCGATGCGGGGCTCGATCCCAGGACCCCAGGATCATGACCTGAGCTGAAGGCAGACGCTTAACGCCTGAGCCACCCAGGGGCCCCCGGGGTTCAAATTCAGATCAGTATGAATCCAAAGTCCCAGACCTGCCCCTCCACTAATGGGGTAAGAAGGAAAGCTCTCCTCTTTCCCACCCCACCTCCTAGAACAGCAAGGGAATCCAAGCCCCCACGTTGACCAGCTAGTCACCTGCCTCATCTGTGGGGAGGGGGCCACTGAAGAAAGTAGCCTCTCCTCTTGTTCTGCTGAGACCCTCAGCCGGGGCCCAGGCTGCCGAGGGGTGGAGCTGGCCCAGGGCCCAGCCTCAGTAATGGGAGAAGGTCAGCGTCTTGGGGAGAAGAGGGAGGGGGTCAACAATCATCTAGCCCAGACGCACGTTACCTGCGACCACAAACTGTGCACAGAAATCCCAGGGGTCATGAGCTTCTGTGAGGGTGAAAAATCACAATTACACATGGAGACAGCACACCACGTTTTGCTGGGACTCCAGCAGTGCCCAGGACGATGTCACCAATAGAAACCACAGGTACCTCCGCTATGCAGAAATTTCCGAGTATCGCCGACAGCCAGCCATCACTACTTAAAAATTACCGTAGGTTCCAGACCTGCTTCTAGATCTTATTAGCGGGTTGATAAATAAGTGTGTGTATTGCTATGCCCCAAATCAATATATATATATATAAAGATTTTAATTATTTGAAAGAGAGTGAGCAGGAGGGAGAGGGAGAGAGAATCTGAAGCTGACTCCGCACTGAGCACAGAGCCCCACACGAGGCTCGATCTCACGACCCTGAGATCATGACGTGAGCCGAAACCAAGAGTCAGACACTTAACCTCCTGAGCCACCCAGGGGACCTTATTTCATATTTTGGTAACTGTATTTCAGCATAACTAGTTGTCTTTCTAATCTTGCGTAATTTATTCCTGTAAAAACCATATTCTGAGGAGGGCCCAGGGGCTTCGCCAGATGGCCAGCAACAGGTCCATGACCCAGAGAGAGCCCCCAATCTAGTCCCAGACCCTCCCTCTTCCGAGGCGGCAACCAAAGCCCTGGGTCGTACAGCACAGTAGAAGCCATATGGGGGCCGAGGAGGGGGCCTCTGTCGTTGGTGGATGGAGCTCTTTGGATCCTTTGACCTTGGAAGGAGGCGGCTACCCCCAGCTCTCCGTCCCCGGTCAGTCAGGGCCCTGACCCATGAGGCCTCAGCCCCACCAGGCTGCAGGACACTCCCACAGTGGCTTCGGGCGTCCTGGGGGCAGAGGGAGCTACACAATGTTGTTCAGAGCTCGTGCTGTCTCTCCTAAGCCTCAGTCTGCTGGTGCAGGAAATGGAGAGACCAACCCTTGCCTGGGATACTCGGCCACCAGGCACCAGGGGTGCCAAAGAGCAGCCCAAATCCCTGCAGGTTCCCCGGAGAGAGGCGGGAGCTGAGGAGACAAGCTGCTTCTGGCCGACTTCTTGGGAGAGGTGGTCTTTCACTTGGACTTTAACGAATCCAGAATGGAGGGAGAAATTCCAGGCTGAGGGGAAAGAAATGCCCCCACAGAGGGTCCCACAGGCAGGGCTGTTCCTTGACCAGAGAGAGCCAGGGACGGTGCAGGAAGCAGTGACACAGGGGGCTGAAAAGTGCGTTGGCCATGTGCAGAGGGCCTTGAATGCTGCGTTTAAAGGTTTGGACCTGCTCTGTCTGATAATGTAACTAGAGCCGTATGTGCCTATTTACATTTAAATTAATTAAAATTGAAAATCCAGTTCCTCAGTCATATTAGCCATGCTTCCAGTGTTCATAGCCCTGTGTGGTTAGTGGCTCCTGGACAGGACAGGGCATATAGAAAGCGTTTCCACCACTGCAGAAAGCCGGGGGGCAGTGCTGGTTTGGGCTTTGGCCGGGAGACTGTCAGGTTCTGCTAAGGTCTCTAAGCAGAAGAGAGGCCTGCAGAGGGCCAAGGGGCCCGGCTGGGCTGAGCTTCAGGCAGATGTCCTGAGTGGACTTCCAGTGTGGCCACACCACTCTCTCATGTCAGACAGAGGCGGTGAGGTGGGGCCTGCGCTGGGGTTTCGGGCGCTAGAGTGCTGTGTGGCTGTGGGAGAGTCACCAGCCCAGGTGGCTCTCTGCAGGTCCCCAGCAGCGGTGGAGGGGTGGGGTTGGGGGGAATGAGGCTACAGGGTGGGGAAGAAGGGGATGGGGGTTGCTCTGATGGGAGGGTGCCCCCACTCACACAGCCCTCTGCTCACAGGTACGTGGCCATTGTCCACCCCTTCCAGCCGCGGCTCTCGGGTCCCCGCACCAGAGCGGTGATTGTCGGCATCTGGCTGCTGGCCCTGGCCCTCGCCTTCCCCCAGTGCTTCTACTCCACCATCACCATGGACCAGGGCGCCACCAAGTGTGTGGTGGTCTGGCCTGAGGACAACGGCAGCAAGATGCTCCTTTTGTAAGGCCTGTGGGGTGCAGAGCATGAGTGTGTGTGCACACGTGTGTGTGCAGGTGCACACACCTGAGAATGTCCGTGCTTGTGCATATGCACGTGGGTGTGCACGTGCATCTGTGAGGGTGTTTGGGATTATGTGAGTCCATGTATATACCAAGGGACACTTAGCACTTCCAAAGAGTCAGGCTTTACACACATGAAGCTATTCAATTCTCCTAACGCTACGGGGCATGCATGTCTTATTATTCCCATTTTCAGATGAGGAGACCAAAGACTAGAAACTAAGTAATACGCCCAAGGTCCCACAGTAATACGCCCCAGATTTAACGCCAGGGCTTAAATCTGGGCAGTGCCGCTTCAGAGCCCCCCACTTCCGTGCCACCCCAGGACTCAGATAAGGATGGGTATGTCCTTAGATGAGGATATGCATACGGCGCTACTGTGCAGCCAGGCTGCCCCCATTTATGTCTACGTGCGTGTGTGTGTGTGTGTGTGTGTGTGTGTGTGTGTGAGAGAGAGTCCGGGCCATGTTCATGGAAGTGTGTGTGCACAGAGGTGTGTGGAAATGTGTGTGTGTGGGGGGTGTTTGGGGGAGGGCACTGTACATGCTCCTGACACAGAGGGTCAGGGTATTGAGGCGGAAAGAAAGGGCAGGTGGCAGACCCTAGGATGTTTTGCCTGCCTCAAGCTGAGTGGGGGCCGTGGGCCGGGGAACCAGGTAAAAGAACTCAGACATGGGCCAGCCATTGTGCGACCCTGGGTAAGTCCTTTTCCTTTCCGGGCCTCGGTTTGCTACGTGCTGGCTTCCGGATCCTCATGCGCGGCTTGGTCGTTTAGCAGAGGGTAAAGAATTGGTTAAGGTTTGGGAGGCAGCAGTTGGGAGGGAGTCCTGCTCTGTCTCCTGCAGGCTGGAGGACCCTTCCTAGTCCCTTTGGCTCCTCTCCCGGGTGGGGATTAGTTAGAGCACTTGGCGGGGCGGGGGGGGGGGGGGGTTGCTATGAGCATGTGTGAGACCCGTCTGTGAGCCGTTAGCGCCGCGCCTGGCCCGGAACGGGCACCCATATGCGGTAGTTTAAGCCGCAGACAAATGAGAGCAAACCTGGACGGGGCCGATTTCGTCCCACAGAGGCCCAGCTGCCCGAGGCAGGAGGAGGTGCCTGCTTTGCGCGCAGGGGGTTGCCAGGTCACCATGGCAACACAGCCCCCGCCCCCGGCCCCGCCTCCCTAAACACCCCTCCCCCAACGTCCACCCCCACACCGGCTCCATCTGCCCCGAGCACCAGCCAGAAGGGGGCCTCGCTGTTGCCTTCAGTGCTAGAGAAGAAGCCTGAGAAGCCCGGTCCCGGAGACTGATGAGTTTTGAGGGCGGGCCCTGCCTACGGTCTCTGCCCTCCCTCTGCACCGCGCCCTGCTCCGAAGGTCTCGCTGCTCCAAAGCCAGTGTCCATGTCGGGAAGGCTCGGGGAGGGGTGGAGAGCCGACTATTTTGTGACTGACCACTGGGGGGCAGTGTTTCTCCACCTTACTACAGGCCTTTCTCCCTGAGAGGGGGACCAGTAATAACTCTGGGGACCCCGCACCGGCTCTGTGGGGATGGTGAGTTCCAACCCTGATTCAGGCACCAAGGGAAGACAGGAGGGCAAGACGTGAGCTAGGAAGGCGATGCTTTGGTGTCACCTAGAATTCTGCGAGGATTTGGGGAAAGCCTGGTTTGTGTGTGCAAATGTGTTCTTTGTTCTTGGTGGAGGAACTGAGATTTAAATTGGGGGCTGCATACTCACGGGCTCCCATCCTGGGTGTGTAGGCATCCGATGAAATTACAGATGCCGCGTCCAGGAAAATACACATAGACCCTCCAAAATCAAAATACTTTTTAAAAAGCCCAGGCTCTGAGAGGAGGCAGTCCTGGTTTTTGGTGGACCCCAGATGGATCCCCAGGGCTCCTTGGAGCTCCCTTCAGCGTAGGAACCTAGCCCAGAGTGAACTCCTATCCTGAACCATGTCCCAAGGAAAGAATGAGGCAAAATCGAGATGTCACTCATACTTGGGAAGGATCTTAGGGATTACCTCCTCGTTTTACAAAAGGGGAAACTGAGACCGGGGGAGAGGTCAGACTTGCCCGAGGTCACACTTTGAAGTGAGAGCCTGAGCAAAAACTCAGTTCTGACTTCATAGAGCTGGCCTTCAGTAGTAGGGAAATCGTCTGAGTGTTGATTAAATCTCTAGAGCTATTTCATACGTCACAGAATTTCTGCACCTCTCTGAACCTCAGTTTCCCCCTCCAGACGCTGAGGCGGGTAGCCCTGCTGACCCTCAAGGTCTATCTAGCTCAGACACTCTGTGACCTTACAATGAAGGTAAAGTGAGAGGGGCCTGGCATTCGCTGTTCCCCCCTGCCCTTACCTGCACCACACAGGGGTCTAGGATAAGGATCCCAGGGTCTAGGAGCACCTGTCCCCCCAAACCTTTTGTAATTAGCATACTTGCTCAAAGAGCGAGCAAGCAGAATTCTAAGCACAGGCTTTAGGGAAGACATTTGCTGGAGCCACCTGCTCCCCCGCCTCTGGGTGGCAGCACCTCTAGAAAAGGAGCCCAGCAAGGCTGGCCCACAGGTCATGAGGGTGGGGGCCTTGGGAACACTTCAGCCCTCCTAGAAAAAGGTCATGTGCAAGGGCCACGGGTCTCGGGCCCATTCCCGAGGTGCCCCCACCTGGGCCCTGTCGGAGAAGAGCTGCAGCATCACTCAGAAACTAGAATGGGCAGCACACATCTCCTTTACATCATCTTTCCAAAAGGAAAAGAAACTGCTCCTCACAGCCCAGGGTGTCCTCCACAGGGATTGGATGAGTAACCATCAGTGTGTTCTGGGCCGCTTGCTCAAAGGTGGTGTGCGAGAAAGGCTGCTGATGTGAGCCGTGTTCCCAACCAAATGCTGATGGGCAGGAAGAGATGATCAATATCTTGTACAGTTGGTACTGTTGCCAGGGGCCTGTTCCCTGATAGGGATGTCGGGGCAGGATGGAACCGGATCAGCTCGTGAAAATCTACCTCTCCAGACAGACAGATGCAGCTGTAGACTATACATATATATAATCTGTCTAATGCATATGTACAGAGATATATGATACACACACATGTGACTGAGGAAGAAAATATCCCGATTGTTAATATTGGTGAGAATGGACTTGGTAACTTTACTTCCTCCTTTGTGTTTAATGGCATTTTAAATGTTAAACAAATGTGTTATTTGGCTAACTTTTTTATTCCTCTTTATTTCCTTTTTTGGTAGCGTTTGTCTATCACCTGGAGGATCGCAGAGATAAAGCGCGTGTCCCTTTTGCAGCAGGGGAAGCCCTCTTTGGGCATATACGCTAGCCAGTGTTGTCCTTTTTTTTTTTTTTTTCTTTAAGTTAAATCAAGGCCTTGGGAGGTGGCCCCGGGTGGCCGGCCGGAATTGGCTCAGGGGCGCGCGCGGGGCCAGGGGGACTGAGGGCTGGCGGATGCCGAAGTCGCTCCCGGGCCGTCCCGTGCCCAGGCCCTTGGCTTTCCCTCCAGGTACCACCTCGTGGTGATCGCCCTCATCTACGTGCTGCCGCTCGTGGTGATGCTCCTCGCCTACAGCGTCATCGGCCTCACGCTCTGGAGACGCGAGGTTCCCAGGCACCAGGTGCACGGCGCCAGCCTGCGCCACCTGCAGGCCAAGAGGAAGGTGGGCGCCGGGGGCGGGGCCCGGCGGGGGCGGGGGCGGCCTGGGGCCCCGCCCTTCCGGGCTCGAAGCCCGCCCCTACGGCGCGCCGTTGAGGACAGGACCCACCCTAACTTGCACTTGTCCCAAGTCCCTGACCAGAGTCCGAGTTCATTCTTCCTAGGAGGACAGAGTTGCCTTTGGCCCTTGGCCAAATGCGAAGTTAAAGGAACTCCCCCAAAATGTTTTGAGAATCAGAGAATCCTAAAACCCCACAGAATTTCAGATACCCCCAAGAATCTTAGAATGATTGACTCTCAAAATCTTAGACTTTCTGAGTAATCGGAGTGTTGAATTTAAGAAGCCCCACAGAACTCCGGGAGGCTCCCGTATAGAATCACAAGAGAATTCTCAAATGCTGGAACTGCAGACCTCCAATCCGAGATCATGGAGACTGGACTGGAGTCCAGCAGCACCCAGTCTGTCTTCAATTTCCAACCCAAGTGCCAGTGTCCACCCCTCCTCCCCGCCACTCAGGGCCCCCCAAGGGTCCTGATGCAGCATTCTATGATTCAGACCTCCTCCACTGTCTCCTAGTCAAAGCTTATCTTTGCCGTGCCCCTTCCTGTTAGGCGTCCAGGGAAGGTAATGGTTAATCCCATCATGTATCAGGTCACTGTCTTGGCTTCAGGTCTACCACTGGGCATTTTTCATAGGAGAATTCAGGGAGGTAGTCAGATATGGGACACTGTCTGAGTGTCCCTCCTCGTGAAGAGCTGGTCTCCACTTGCCATCGCTGGCTTGCCCTCCATTCCTCGTCGGGTACTGGGCCAGTTTAGGAGGGCCTGCAGAGACCAGGCTTGAGGGGGGAAGGTCAGGGAGCTGGCTCCTGGGCAGAGGCTGGATGCCCGACTAGAGTCTCACTACCTGTGGATAGAAGGGCTATGGCAGACACATCCCAGGGAGAGGGGCACTTGAGAACCCATAGTTAACATAGGGGATCCCGCAAGGATGGGGTTAGGAGCTCACCCGCTCTCCAGGGAGGGGAGCCGCTCTGAGGGAAGGGGTCCGGGACACCTGCTAGATGAGGTGGCCTCCGAGCTGGGCTTCAAGGAGTGAGGACTCGAAAGAAAGAACAGCAATGTGGGCAGAGGTGCAGGGCCCAGCAGTCAAGGCTGCTTATGCTCCAAGGGACTGAGGGCTTCCCAGGCTGCCATGAGGGGTGCCCTGCCACCACCCTTGGAGGATTGGGGTGTGGTGCTTCCAGGCTGAGGTGTGACCTGAGCCTCTCCTGACCCAGTTCGTGAAGACCATGGTGCTGGTGGTGGTGACGTTTGCCATCTGCTGGCTGCCCTACCACTTCTACTTCATCCTGGGCAGCTTCCAGGAGGACATCTACTACCACAAGTTCATCCAGCAGGTGTACCTGGCGCTCTTCTGGCTGGCCATGAGCTCCACCATGTACAATCCCATCATCTACTGCTGCCTCAACCACAGGTGAGCCCCCATCCCAGCCCCCCTCTCCTCAGCCCTCAGGAACCCTTGGCCTGGCCCCAGCTGGACTCCCCTGCACAGCATGAGCCTGTGCCTCCCACCCCCGCATGGGATTGCTGTCCTCACACTGAGCCCACAGCACAGTCCTCAAGCCAGGCCTCCAGGCGTGGCCTGGCTTGAGCCCCTCCTCCTCCCCAAAACCTTGTCCTGTTGCCCAAGCCACAGTTCTCCCCGTCCGTCTGCTCCTGCTCTCTCTTCAGGGGCTACATCTGGGACCAGGAGAAGAGAGAAGGGAGGGACAGAGAGGAGGAGGGAGGAGGAGAGTCAGAGAGAGGCCGCAAGGCGGACAGAGAGGGAGAAAGGAAGGAGCCGGTAAAGGAGGGCGGGACTTCCTCTGTCCCGACATTTTTAAGAGCTTCCCGTAATGAGACGTTTCCTTGAGCCAGGTGAACCACTCCAACCTCAGCAGTATGAAGCACTCAGCTGGGGGGCCCAGGGCGAAGACTGGAGGGGGAACAGGCTGCTCCCTGGGGAGATCAGAGGGCATTTCCTGCCGCCAGGGGGGATTTCTGGGGCCGCTGAGGAGTGACCTTGGCAGAAACAGCCAGGGAGGAAGGAACCTCACTCCTCCCTCAGACACACCTGGTTGCCCCAGCCCCGTACTTCTGGCAAATCGGAGTCCCCCAGAGGGGCTGGCGTTTGCTCTGGGGCACCTGGAGAGGTGGAAGGCCTCAGAAAACCCTGAAGGGGGGGGTCAGGTAAGAGAAGATGAGAGGTGAACAGAGTCCGGGTCTCTACAAGACAGCCATGTGGGTAAGGTTGGCCGTAGGCCTCCGTGTCCATGCCTTTTGTCACCCGCCTGCCCACGTGTCCAGGCCACTCATGATGCCATTAGGGTCCTTGTTGCCCAGATACCCCAGCCACCTAGGGCAGGCCAGGAGGAAGTGAGAGAACTGTGATTTTTTTTTTTTTTCGAGTGTTTAATGGGTGCCAGAATCCTCCATTGTCTCCTGAGTTGTAAGAAGTAGATGATAGGAGGAAGGGAGGTGTTATCCCCATTTTTCAGATGAGGAAACTGAGCCCCAGAAAGGAAGACTCCTAAACTCATACAGCAAGCAGTGGAGCCAGAATACCATAGATCTCCAAGGCCTGTAACCTTGACCCCACAAGCACACCTTTCTCTTGATGCAGCTTCTAGAACTTGGACTCAGGAACTGTCATAATCAGGGAGGGGCCCCCAGCACTCCATGTGTGTGCATTGGTCACTCTCCCATTACCCAATGACACAGTCCCTGAAAGTCTGAGCAAGTCCCCAGGCTCTACTCATTTCTGAAATAACTTCAGAATCTTCAGTAGTTGGTGACTCTAGCTCTAAAGCGGGACTGATGCTTCTGGCAGGAGGCTTCATTCATTCAGAACCTGTTCACAAGGGACTCCGTGTACCTGGCACTGTTCCAAGCCCCTGGGATACCCCAGTGAACAAAAGCAATGGTTTCTTTCCTTGGGGAGCTGCCATTCTAGTGGGGAGATAGACAGTAAGCAAGTGTAAGGAGTGGATGAATCACATAGCATATTAGGTGGTAAGCTCCACAGAAAAAAGGAAAACCAGAGCTGGGGATGGGAGGAGCGGAAGTGCCAGGGGGAGGAGTGGACACAGGGGGAGCAATTTTATAGCAGGGCCAGGGTTGGCCTTATTGAGGATTCTTTTGAGCAAAGATGATTGAATGGGCCCTGCAGCTGTGTGGGGAAAGGCTCCAAGCAGAGGGAACAGCCAAGGCAAGGCTCCCTGCGGTCAAGGTAAGGCCTTGGGCTGGGACTCTGCCACGAGGAGTCCAGTGGCGCTCTGAGTTGGGAGACATGTACGCTGACTTCCCTTTTAAAGGAATCCATCTGGCCGTGTGTCGGCAACTGGACCACAGCGGCGGGGCAAGCAGAGAAGCAGGGGGGTGGGGAGGCTGTTGCAGGGATGACGGTGAGAGGTGGGGAGAGGGTTCAGACGGGGGAGAGATGTGGTCAGAGTCGGGCTATTACTAAGGTAGAGCCAACAGAACCTGACGGAGGGGAGGTGGCATGTGTGAGAAGTCAAGGCTGACTCGCAGGTTCCAGGCCTGAGCAGCTGGAAGGACGGAGTTGCCAGTTGTCAGGAACTGAGATGGGGACGCTGGAGGGCGGGGGGGGGGGGGGGGGGGGGCATGCTGAGTGTGAGCGGAAGGGGCAGAGGCCGTGAAGCTCCCACAGGAGAGGCGTTTGTTGGGCCACACCATGGAATATTGTAGAGCTGCAAGGTGAGGAACCAAAGTCAGGCCTGCTCTTCTGGAACATGGCACCCCGTGTCTCCTGGGAACAGACAAGCGGCTGTCACCCAGGGTCCCCTTGATCTCTGCTCCTCTCAGACAGACCAGTGTTCCTTTCTCGCAGCCCATTTCCTCCACTGCCGTCTGCTTCCCCTTCTAATTTACCTTGAGTCCGGCCATGGGGAGAGCCACTTTTTAAGCAAATATACCAAAATGTAGTAGTTCTCTGTGCATGACTTCTTTCAGAGCAGCCCCCCTTGGGAGAGCATCCTTACTGTGCCCAATACTGCCAAAGCCCAAACTTCTTAAGACTCCTCTAGAACATTCCTTTAGAAGCCAGTTAACAAGCCAAACAAGAGAATCTGTTATTTCTTTAGTTGTATTTGGTTTCTTTGTCTGTAATAACAAATGGTCTAATTAGGCTTAATCACCCACTTCAATCACTAGATTTAGCTCCAGATTCCTTCTGGGCGTTTCCAAAACTCAAATCCACTCAGGAACAGTGAACGATGATAGACAGTTAGAGGTAAAAGGATCACTTTCCTTCGGAGGGGAGATCGGCTCCTGGAGGTGGGGGCAGTTCCCGGACTGTCCCCCTCACCCCTCTGCTCAAGGTGACCCTCCACCTCCTAGGTTTCGCTCTGGATTCCGGCTTGCTTTCCGTTGCTGCCCGTGGGTCACACCGACTGAGGAAGATAAGATGGAGCTGACTCACTCTCCATCCCTTTCTAGGAGGGTCAACAGGTGCCACACTAAAGAGACTTCTTTCATGGCTGGGGATACCGCCCCCTCTCAGGCTACCAATGGGCAGGCCAGGGGTCCCCAAGATGGGGTACCTACTGAACCCTGAAGCCTTGTGCCTGGCACCCTTGGAGAAGTAGCCAGTTGAGAGGTCCAGATCTAAAAGTTTGACCCATGCCCCAGGCTTCAGTGCATCAGTGGAAAAACAAGATGGGGCCAGGAGCTCTGCAAGTGGATGCCAACTCTAATAAGAGGGCCCAGCCACCCCTCTGACGGGGCTTCACAGCAACAAGAGTCCAAGAAGACAGTGTGAGTTAACACATCTCATCCAGGAGTCACAAGCAGGGATGCCTTCCTGGGGCATACACCCTGATCAGTGACTTCCGGCGTCGGGGTAACAGGGAACGGGGGGAAGTGGAGGGCGTACGCAGCCAAAGGGGACAGCAGCTGACCAGCTCTGGACAAATGTTGTCCTGAGGTAATGGGTGCCCACCATTGCCAGATCTTCTGGATCTTTCATGACACGCCAGAAATCCAAATTTGTGAGACTTCCAGCCTTGTTCCATTTGGCTCACCTTTTTATAAATATTCGTTAGACCAAACAGAACACACCTGGGGACAGCACCCAACCATGGTACTGATTTATTATCAGGCTAAAGACCACCCAGGGAGGGAGCTGCTTACTTTGCAAAGCCCATCACCTGTGAGTCGACTGGGGCTTCTCTGCTTCGGCATCTAACTCAGACCCAGCTCAGTGCACACCGTGGCTAAGAGTCAAAAGGAGCCGCGGCTGTGTTGCCTCAGACAAGTCCCTCTGACCCTCCGCCTCTTCTTCTCCCAGTGACAAAGCTGCCTCACAGGGATGCTGGGAGGAAGACTGGAGTGCGGCCTCTAAACCAGCGTCAAGCGCTGAAGAACCAGCAGGCGTGACTCTTATCCCGGCCCAGCCGGCTGTGTTCCGCGGATGCCTCCAGGACGCGAGCAGCGGTGGTCACGCTCACTCCGGCAGCGGGCAGGTGGAGGGCAGGGAACGCCAAGCATCTCGACTCCCGGAGAGCTCTAGGCCTGACCCGGTGCACCGCAAGGACACCCTTCTCCCTGCCTGCCGCCTCGCCCTGCACACCCCATTTGCCCCTCCAGAAGAACCACGTGACACTGTAAATGCACAGCAAGAGGAGCGCCTGGGTGGCTCAGTCGTTGGGCGTCTGCCTTCGGCCCAGGTCACGATCCCAGGGTCCTGGGATCGAGCCCCGCATCGGGATCCCTGCTCGGCGGGGAGCCGGCTTCTCCCTCTCCCGCTCCCCCTGCTTGTGTTTCCCTCTCTCGCTGTGTCTGTCAAATAAATAAATAAAATCTTTAAAAAAATTAAAAAAAAAATACACAGCAAGAGAGTTTGATGCTAGGTGCGATCCCCCCAGAGATCACGGTGCCCAATAATGGGGCTCCGGCCTTAACCCGCACAGGGCACGAGAGGCAGGCTGATGTGGGACCCACTGGCGGGCCATGGGGTGAATCAGCAGCCTCAAGGTTGAGGTGGGACAGGGATAAAGGGTCAGGTGGGGAGCGGTTTCCTACAGAAGGGATTCGTTTAAAGCGGGGGGGGGAGGACCGTGCAGGCAACCTGCTCCCGGGGCTGCAGCAAGATGTCATCCGTGTTAGAGCAGGGTCTACACCCTCTGTTCCCTTGGAGTTGGCAGACGGTGATGAAGGCGGGCGGGGTCTACTTGGGGACGGCGGTGGGGACAGCCAATGTGCACTGTCCTCTCATTAAACCCAAACAATCCCTGGGAGCCCAGAGGCCTCCTACCGCTTTACCTTCCTAACGGTGCGGGGCTGAGACCCTGGGGCTGCGGCAGGGAACTGGCCGGGCAGGTGCTAGAAAACAAGGACAGAGGCTAGCTCGGTGACACTCTGCAGAGAACAGAGAAGTTATGCTACTCAACAAAGGCTGGGGGCTGAAGCACTCTCCCCACCCCACCCCACCCCACCCCCCACCCAGGATCCCCAGGGCATGGCCTCCCACCTTCTCCGGCCAGCAAGCATCACTCGGGGTCTTTGAATTGGTACAAAGTTTACTAGGTCATACAACGTGGCTCACAAAAGCAATGGGGAATTCCAACGAGGGCACTGTTTGTTGGTTTCGTTCCTTTTACCCAAACGGAGACAAGACATTTTCCCGCAGAACTGCCCACATCCCCCCACCCCCAAGACAGACAGAAGGCAAGACTGTCACGACGTGGCTCTGACCAGTTCCACGGACACACGATTCAGTGGCACGGACACGTCTCGATGGGAACCTCGGGACGCCAGACAGCAGCGGGGGCTGGGACGGGAGGAAGCCGCTAAGATGCCCCTGGGAGGAGGAGTCCCGGCAGTGTCTGCTGGTGATAATACATTTCACACGGGGGTGGGTCCCCAAGGACGGGCTGCGGAGGCCCCTAAGGCCTGTCAGATGGCGTGACTTTTCATCTTGGGCCAATAAATAACTGTCGGACGAATGCAGAAACTGGAAATGGGCGCCACTACACTTCACACGTGGGGAGCGGACGACCAGGTTGAAATCGGATCATGCAGAGTGGCAGGGCAGGCGAGGAGGGGCCTGAGTGGGGAGAGATTATCAACAGCACACGCTCTATTTTGTACCCTACGTTACGCGCCAGTAGTTGGCTTGCGGCCCCTCCCCGCTGCGGCGGAGGTGGGCCCTGGCGCCGGCGGCTCCCGGCCCAGCTCGCTGGGAGGCACGGGGGTGGCCGCCCGAAGAGAGACGTGCCAGAGGGGCAGCAGGCCGGGGGGCTGGCACCCTTAGCTGCTCGTCTCTTCCCGGAGCCGGACGCCCACTGCCGTGATGAGAGCAGCCCCCTTGCCGCTACCGTCTTCGGACAGGAGGAAGGACACGTTACATTTGGGGGACAGTTCCTTCACGGTTTGGTACATGATTCTGGAGAAGCTGAGAAAGAACAACACACGGAGGAGGAGGGTAAGTGGACAAGATGAGAAGAGACGCTGGGCGCGCGCGAGGACGCCTCAGGACCCTAACGACAGGGGACAAGCGAGACGGGAGGGGCTTCTTGGGAAAGGTTGGGGGGGACACCGGATCTGCCGCCGATTCTATGACCCCAGTTTTCGGCAGGGAGAAACAGCTGAGAATCCAAACAGATGTGACTGGACGGCTTATCGGGACCAGGGCAGGAATGACACACAGACACACTCATCCCCCAAGCCTGAGGCGTCTGGGGGACCGGATACTGAGAAGGGTGCCAGGGCCTGGCCCCCTGAGATCCCCAGCCCATCACCAGCCATGGCCCAACACCTGGCCTCCGAGGCCCAGAGCAGTAGGCCCCCGGTGAGAGAGAACCTCAGTGACAGGTGACTCTAGGTTCACACACTGTGTGCTGACGGTGACACAGGGCCAGGTTGAAGCAGCTCAGGGCGATGGAGGTGACACGGCCTACCCGCTGTGGCACCCCTGCTAGGGCCTGCCCCACGCCTTCTCCGCTACCTTCCGGGCCTGCCCGTGGCCGTCAGCCCGTGAGGACGAGGGCGCTCGGCAGCTGAGCGGCTGAGCATAGCTTCCACATGATGGTGGGGCGTTAGAGCCAAGCGTGTATGGCTCCAAAACCTAGCTCTGAGCCACGGCAGGGTGCTGCCCCAGGTGACAGAGACGACGGCTACGGAGGTGGGGAGGCGGGTGCAGATGCAGCAGGGCAGTTGGCTCCCTCCCCAGCCACAGCCGTGAGGTAAGCAGCAAATGCCTACACTGATGCGGGTGAAGCTGCTTTTAAGGAGAGTGACATGAAGGCCCAGTTTACCAGGGATGGTCCCAGTGTAATTATTAGTGCAGTCTCTTCACTGGCAAAAGCGCCCCAGTTTAGACAATACATAACAGGGTCACTCTATTCATAAGGGGCTAAGCTTTGGGATATGTGGTCGATCAAAGGGCAGGTGGGGCCAAATATCCTCCTTCAGCACAGAGTGTCAGACCCTTGACCATAAGGAGCCCACTCCCCATCCCCCTTCCTGCCTTGAAAGCCTCTTGAGAAACTGATTTAGCAGGTGAACAAGACAAGGTGGCCTCCTCCCTCCGTCCTTCACTCCCTGTCCCCACTTACCAGACACAGCCTCCTGGCCGGGCTGCAGCTACCCAGGCGCATGGGTAAGGCCACATTCACCCTTCCCTCGGACTCTGCCTGACCTAAGGGGGCCCCAGGAGGAGTGGGGAGAGGGACATCTGTGCCACTGGTGTGAGCTGAACCAAGTGAAGCCACTCCTCTCCAAGGATCTCAGTTAAACTTCAAAGCAGCTCATCACCTGGTCCCAGAGAAGGCCCAGTCCCTAAACGCACAGCCTTCGGGTCAGCTGGGTCCTGGTGAGGAATTCTCCTGCTGCGACTCACATCCTGCTGTCCCATAACCCCCATCAAGGGATCTCAGCAGCCCAGGACGCCCTGCCCACCCAAGCGGAAGCCCCACTCACTGCGGATGAAGCTTGTAGAGTGTTCCATCCACGCCCACAGTCACATTGAGGTGGTCCAGCCCTCTGTTCTCGCGGATCTTATCCACCACAGCAGCCATGCCCGCACCACACAGCTGTGCAGCCCTCTTGGACACCACCCCGCACACGGTCTTGACCAGGATACTGTCGTCACAGGTGCTGTTCAGACCCAGCTGCTGGAGGATGGCCCGGACCTGGAGCAGCGCTAACCGGTCACTGCGGTGGACAAAAGCCAGAAGGCTGGATGAAGCGGGGCCCTGCAGAGCAGCCTGGGAGTCGACGCTGGGGGACTAGCCCCAAACCACCGTACTTACCATGAGTAGGGTCGTGGGGGCTTCCTTCCTCCAAATCAACATTTATTTTTATTAATTTATTTCTTTTTTAAGATTTTTTTTTTTTTTTTTTCAAGTAACCTCTACACCCAGCCTGGGGCTCAAACCCACAACCCTGAGATCAGGAGCTGCATGCTGAGCCAGCCAGGCGCCCCAGTTTTTACGACCATTCTAAAAACAAGGCGGCTTTTGCTTTGACAGAGCACCCTGCTCCTCCTCTCACAGCTCACCAAGGAAGAGGGCAAAGGCAGGGAGGAAGCGATCACCGCACACAGGAAAACAGGAGGAAGGCACGCTTCCTGGGTGACCAAACGGCCCGATCCCAGGCTGCCTTTCAGATGAGCACAGGTGGGACTAGACCTGTGGCTCTTGGCTCTACTGGACTCAGCGCCCTTCAACACAAGTATCTGTGATGCACCTTTATCCTGAAATGGAGTCCATACACCTGACTTCCAAATATACATAATGCTCCAACATAAAGCATGAAGAAAAGGAAAATCTTTTATAATAAAATTATATGATTTCAGTATGTAGCTGCTCAGGGCCTACTACTCCAGAGGGTTAGAAACATCCTCACAAATGACAACGTCCCGTGAGGTGCCTCCCCGCCCATCACAACCCTCCCTGGCCACACGGACCTCTAACAGACCTGCGGGGACGCCCCTCATCACTCACCTCTCAATCTGGGAAAGATATTTGGTCTGAAAGATGCCCCGGGTCTTCAGCGTCTCAGAGATCTGCCCTCGGAAGAGGAACCCCTTCTTGGTGAAGTCGATCAAGATGTTGCGGACGATCTCACCCAGGTACATACCGCTAATCATCTTCTCAAACCTGAACCAGGAGCAGGGGCTGGTGTCTACGTGAAGCCTTTGGTCTCCCAGTAGCCCCGCGGGGACATCACCAGCCTGCACACCCAGCCCTGTGCCCCTCAGCAGAGGCAGAGGGAGGCCAGGAAGGGCTAAGGGATCCTCAACCCTCCCCAGGATCAGAACCGAAATCACCAGCCCTCACATCTAACTGCTGGGCCATCTCCCTTCTGCCTTTGCCCAGCAGAACCCCACTCCGGCTCTTAGCTCAAAACTCTCCTCCAAGAGGCCTGTCCTTCTCCCCCCGACCGGGTTCTATCTGCCTGTCTCAGGCTCCCATATGCCCTCCCTTCCCCGTCACAAGGCCCACGGGCACACTGCCTCTCTTGGCCCGGCAGCAGAAGCCTGGAGAGACTGGAACCCGTGTCCCGCTCAGCTTTGAGGCCCAGGGTCTGCACAGCCCAGCGCTAGGCTCTCAGTCAAATGCTCAATAAATATCTGCATAATAAGCAGACAACCGGTCTGAGTCTTAAAGGGACAAGACGACAAGGAGGGCAAAGTTCCCATTAGATTTCTGGAAGGTTTTGAAAAAGCCCAGAGTGCTGGTCAAGCCC